ATCTCCCCCTGCATAATACTATATAGGAGGATGAGATGTTCTCCATGTGTGACTGCGATGTTATATGTGGGTAGACGTGGGCAGGAGATCTGGACTCGACTAARTGACCTATTTAATTTTTTGAAAATCCTAGTTTGCCCTTCTATCTCTTGCTTTCTCTTGTATTGGATGGTTCAATAATGGGTCCAAGGTAGAGAAAGYCTGAGGGGACTGCTGGTTCCCATTGGGAGTTCCCTGCAACAAGCTTCTGCGATTTAATTGGGTGTTTCCCACCATGCATGTCAATAGAGGTAAAGGAAGAATGTCAATACTGTGAACATTCCCAACGTGACAATCCCAACAGAGTTAGGCTGGTCTGGGTGTGGAAGCATTTCTCTGTGCTTGTTTAACAAACTTGCTGTAGCAATAGAAAATGGAACAGAAGGCTTATTCTATAGGCATGTAATGCCTAGGTTGTGGTGTTAAGGCTTGGAAGTGAGAAGGAGTTGGCTGAGGTTTGGAAAACCATAGATCACTTCTTACAAGAACAGGTTTTTCTAAGGGTAAAATACTTATACCTCCCCTGGCGTTTTTGATAAGTTCTTAAATCTCCCCTCACCTTTAAACGTTGCAAAGACCTCCACTGACCTTTGGTGTAAAATCTTCTTATTGACCCCTTCCGTTAGTTGCACGTTAGAAACTTAACAAAAATATAAATCTATTGCTCTAAGTTTTTTAAAATACCCAAGTTACCCATGAATCACGCCTGGGTAAAATGCTTATACCTCCCCTGACGTTTCTGATAAGCACTTAAACCTCCCCACACCTTTAAACTTTGGAAGAAGGACATTGTTATCATTTGAAACATTCTCGTATCTGCTCATCACCTTAACCATCAAATTTCTACTTATGCACTCAAAAAGAGACACTACAGGCTTGTACCTGGCTTCCGTTATCCACTTGTTGAACAATTCAGGCATATTGTTAGTTAAGTCATCACTCTTTGAACTAGTGCTGAAAGCATGCCTATTAATTCTAACATTTTGTAGGTATGTCCTTCACCCACTCCCAAAATTGGCTGATTTAAACTCTTCAACTTCAACATTGCCTCATTAAAATCTTAAAATGTATAAGCCATTGTTGCATCCCAAAAGGTGAAGGGAGGTTTARGTACTTATCAGAAATGTCAGGGGATATTATTTTACCTAGGCATGATGCATAGGTAATTTTGGCATTCTAAAAAATTTAGAGCAATAGATTAATATTTCTGTTAAATTCTAAGCTCAACTAACGGAAGGGCTCAGTAAGCAGATTTTACACCAAAGGTCAAGGGAGG